GATCCATAATCAATCCTTGGTACTAGCAGTCAGGAGATCAGAAGATGTACTGTACTGTGAAAGTCTGTGGTCAGGAACCTCTCCAAATTACTGAGGAGCAATGATGTCAGTACGAAGACTAAGGTGTGCCTGATTCAAGCCATAGTTTTCTCAATTACTTGCTATGCATCTGAAAGTTGGACAATGAATAACGATGACAGAAGAGGAATTGATGCCTTTGATGTTGGAGAAGAATACTGAATGTCCCATGGACTGCCAAAAAAATAAACAGATTTATCTTGGAGAAGGTGCAGTCAGAGTGCCCACTGGAGGCAAGGATGACAAAGCTTCATCTCACATACTCTGGACATATTGCTAGGAGGGGTTATTTCTTGAAAAGGGACTTCATGCTTGGAAAGGTAGAGGTTTAGGGAAGAATATCCTCAATGAGATAACTTGACACAGTGTTTGTAGCAATGGGCTCCAGTGTGTAAGAAACTATGAGGATGGCACAGGTTAGGGTAGGGTTCACATTTGTTTTTTTCATAGGGTTGCTATGAGTTGTACTTCACATCCTGTAGATCTGTGAGTGAATACATTTTTAAAATAAACCTCACCTACCTTCCTTTGTAAAGAGCATTGGTGGTCTAGTGGCAAGAAGCTGCGCTGTAATCACAAAGGCACATGGTTTGTATCCACCAGTTTCTCTGTAGCAGGATGAGAAATTTCCTCATATACGATTAACTATTATGGGTTAGATCTGACTCGACGGTACACAACAACAACAACAACAACCCCTGCTTTGTAGTACTTCGGGACAACAGCCACAGAACATACCTGCACTACTTTGCCTGGCCTCTTTTGGAGTAAAGGTGTGGGTTGAGGACCCATTCTGTCTGACACTTTGAAGCTTTGAATAGCCAGGGACAGACAGAAGTGATGTGATTGCTGCGGCAGGGCTTCTGGGGGCCTTGGAGAGACTGGATCAGCCTCTGGGGCTCAGAGAGTACATCACCGAATTCACATAGTTCAGTATTTTTAGCATTATTTTTACTCAAAATCACTGAGCCTTATTCACAAGCTCCCCAGGTGGTAAGAGAGAGCCACTCAAAATCCTTTAGAAAAAATAGTTTCTGTTGCTTGCGATCACGTGGCCTGGGGATCCTTTTCTTTTCCAGCCCTGACAGTGTGGAGTCCATGAAGGTGGTGGGTCACCGCAGGGAGGGGCATGGGGCTTAGAGCTGCCCAGCCAGGACTCCAGGCACTAGAGTCAGAGTGATCTGTTTTTCTACGTGCTGTCTTAGCCTCTTTGTGCCCTAGCTTCCTCTTCATTGGTGGGGTAGATAAAGCTGTTTTAGAGATTAACGGAACAACTGAATGTTTGAAAAGGTAAAGTGCTTTGAAAAGTATAAATATTACTTTGTCGTTGTTGTTATATGCCGTCGAGTCGGAACTCACAGCTGACACTCCAGTGGATAGCAGAGACTGCAAATTTGCACAGGGGGGAGTGGCCATCCTCCTCCTGCAGTGCAACTGGCAGATTTGAACATCGTTCCTTTGGATTGGCGGTGCATGTCCTTACCACTAGGCCACCAGAGTTCCCTAGAAATCAGGTTTAACTGGATTTGCATAATTCTGAGTTTTTAATCTTTAAAAATTACAAGACATTCAGACATGCTATAAAGATACATTCAGCAGGTCATACAGAATAATTTTTTTTGTGATAGAGAAATTTTTGTTTTGGGTGATGCTGTCACCCTGATGGTATCATGCTTGGATATTGCTGACTCAACTTCTGAGTTAATAAATACGGTGACTGCCTTAATTATTTAGTATTGCTTTTACATAAATCTGTGAATTGATGTTTTTATAACAAACAGAAGGTTTCCCACCTCCCTGCGGTTTAGGAGGCTAGAAGTCTGAATTCAGGGTGTTGGCTCTAGAGAAAGGCTTTCTCTCTTTGTCATCTCTAGAGGAAGGTTCTGGTCTCTTCTAAGCTTCTTCTCTTAGGCAATTTTCACGTGGGGGGGGGGTGTCTCTCTTTCTCATCTCCAATCGCCTGAGAAAAAGGCAGACTGCTTCTGTAAGATTTACACCCTGGAAAATCTAGGTGACAAACTATATGTTCCTAAAGGGTCACTGCAAGTCAGAATCCACTAGGTAGTAATAGATTTTTAAAGTTTTTTTTGTTTGTTTTTTGTTGTATGCCAAGAGATTGACTCAAGATACATACTATAGTAACTTGTTCTTGTTACCATAATAAAGATAATTGTTCCCAAAAGGAATTATAACACAGGCATTCAGGTTAGGATTTACAATACATTTTTTTTATACCATCAAATCTGTTTAGCAATCAGTTGATGTGTCTAGTAATTGAGTGTTGCAAATTGTTGAGTGTGTGGCTGTTAATCAAAAGATTAGAGGTTCAAATCTACCCAGAGGTGCTTAGGAAGAAATATTCCTACTTGGAAAATCCATGGAGCACAGTTCTATACTAATACTCATGGGGTCACCACTGACAACTGGTTTTATCTAATAGTTACTGGTAGACTTTTAAGTATTTTTTTCTTTGAAGCCTTCATTATTGCAACTTGAGGCTTGAATTGATTCTTCAGTTATTTCAAGTTGAGGAATGCTGGTGTGTTCTTCCCTTTAGCTTTTCTACTCCAGCAGCTTGTACATTTCATTAGAGTACTTTTGCTGTGTCTTTCTGAACTGCCTTTTGATACCTTCTGAAACCTTCATCATTTGTTCTCTTCATTTTGGCTTCTTTATGTTGAAAAATATATTCAGAGTCTTTTATGACATCTATTGGTTTTCCCTCCCCTTTTCTGTCATTTTAATAACCATTTGCTTCCTTCATAGATGATATCTTTGATGTCATCCTACAAATTGCTTGATCACTAGTGTTCAATGCATCAAATATCTTCTTGAGATGGTTTTTAAATTTAAATGATATAAACCTAAGGTCCTATTTTGCTTCTCAAGAACTTGTTTTAGTTTTCTACACAACCTTGCTTGCTGAAACTGAGGAGGACCTGAAGTGCTTGCTTCAGAAGATCAAGGACTGTAGTCTTCAATATGAATTGAAGCTCAATATCAAGAAAACAAAGATTCTCACTGCTGGGCCAATGTAACAATTACAGCTTGCTCGGTTCCATAATCAACACTCTTGGCATTAGCCATTAAGAAATAAAAAGATGAACTGTACTGGGGAAAACTGCTGTCATGGACCTCTCCAGAGTGCTGAAAAGCAAAGATGTCAATCTAGAGACTAAAGTGTGCTTGATCCAGGCAATAGTCTTCATAGTTACTTGTTATACATTAGAGAGCTGAACAGAGAGTAAGGATGAAAGAAGAGTCGATACCATTGAGTTGTGGTGCTGGAGAAGAGTCTTGAACATACCATGGACCACCAAGAAAACAAATAGGTCTGTCTTGGACAGGGTGAAACCAAGTTTCTCCTTGGAGGCTAGGATATTGAAGTTCTGTCTCACATACTTTGGGCACATAGCCAAGAGGAATTGGTCCTTGGAAAAGGATATCATGCTTGGAATGATGGAGGGGCAGTGCAGGAGAGGAAGACCCTGGATGAGATGGATTGATATAGTAACTGGGGTAATGGGGTTAGGAGTTTTGGAGTCAGTAAGACTGGCTCTGAATAAGGTAGACTTCAGAGCTGTTGTACATAGGGTTGCTATGAGTTGTAGGTAAACTCAATGGCACAAAACAACATTTTTTATTGAAATTTTTAATAGCTTCAGTTTGCTTCGCTCTACAATCAACACTCCTGATATCAGCAGCTAGGAAATCAAAAGACAAATCACATTGGGAAAGTCTGCTGTGAGAGACTTCTCTAGAATACTGAGGAGCAATGATGTCAGTTTAGAGACTAAGGTACTCCTGATTCAGGCCATGGGCTTACAATTACTTGCTAAGCATCAGAGAGATGGACTATGACTAAAGATGATAGAAGAAGTATTGATGTCTTTGAGCTATGGTGTTGGGGATGAGCACTGAACATCCCATGGACGGCCAAGAGAACAAACAGAAATATCTTGGAGATGGTGCAGACAGAGTGCTCTTTAGAGGCAAGAAGGATGAGGTTTTGCCTCACATACTTTGGGTATATTTCTAGAAGGGGCTATTTCTTGGAGAAAGACATGATGTTGGGAAGGGTGGAGGGTCAACAACCAAGGGTGGAAGACCCTCAGCCAAGTGGATTGACATGGTGACTGCTGCAATGGGCTCTTGTGTGCCAGGAAGTGTGAGGATGGTGCAGGATAGGACAGAGCTCAGATCTTTTATTCATGGGTTGCTAGGAGTCATGCTCGATTCGAGGGCACCTAACGACTCTATAATTGTGATTTCCATTAACCCTTTTCTATCTCACTGTGCCTTTCCTTACTTAGTGATATTTTGCTAATCATGCCCTCATTGCAATCACTGTCCTAAGTTCCTTCAGCAAGAACTGCCCCTCATTTTGTAGGTGGGAGCACAGTACATGAGGGAATGCACTGAGCTCTTCTCCTAGAATGTTAGCTACTTAGAAACAGAATCTAGACGTTACTTATTCTCCTTTTTTTAATTCATAGGATTTCTGCTTTCTGGTCATGGTTATTAGAAACAAAGAGATACTGATTTCATGGACAGATTTCAAGTAGGTGTGAAATGGCAGGGGGTGGGTTGGTGAACTGAGAAGGACACTCAAGAGAATTTCATGGAGTCTCCTTTCCTAAGGGAATGCCTTTGGGAAGGCTTGCCTTTTCACTCTGTACTCGCACAGACTGAAAAAATCTTGTACTATGTGCTCATGTTACTTTTAACTAAACATAAAGTGCTTAGATCCTTGCTGCCCTTACCTGGGTTAGCAGCAAGTGGTAGTTAAGCGTTTCACAATGGAAAGACATTGGCACTTAGCTGCAGCCACCTTCCCTGCACCCACCCTGATCCCTGCTGAATGGTTGATCCTAACAGCGGTCAGAAAACCCAGAATGCAAAGGCAATGAAGACCCACTCACGTTCCACTCGTTTCTCCAGCATGGCCAGGTGGTTTGCAACTTCAGCTTTCAGCTCATTGATTTTAAAAGCTCTAGGAATTGAAAGAAAAAGAGAGAATAAGACAAAATACCATGCATAGAAGCCTCAGAATTGAAATGTGCTCAGCAAAGGTCTGTTGGTGGAATGCCTACCATGGGTGAGGCTACCGGCGAGTGGATACAGAAGCCATCAATTGCTTATAAGGAACTTACAATGCCTTGAGGGGCCATGTGGGTAAGGGAGGAAGAGATGAGATGTTCTCTACCAACTATATACCCTTGGGGTGTTTTCTAAGGGGGGAACACACAGCTGGTGGGAGCGCTTACATTTGCACACCTAGGCTGTGAGCACACCAGGGGACACAGTGCCTCTGCTTTTAAGCTCTGGAGGGCCCAGCCCCGACCCTGCTCCTCTGGGCGCAAGTCACCGTCCAGGGACCTGCAGGCTCTTTTGAGGCACCAATGCACTCAGCTCTGTGAATCCGGGGCTTTAATTGTGTCGTTGCCCCTATTTCAATGACCAGGGAAATGGCTCTGGTTTCTCAGTTAAGGTGTTGTTAGGTGCCTTCGAGTCCGAGTCAACTCGGAGATGACCCGCCCGCAGACTTTTGAAAAGAGGAGACTCCCCATCTTCCTCCCTCAGAGCAGCTGAGGGGTCCAAATCACTTGGCTTTCGGTTGGCAGCACAGGCCATTCCCCAATAGGCCTCCAGAGTGCCTGCTGTTCAACTGCTCTGAGACACTGACAATATTTGCTTTAGCATTGAAAAGATAGTGCAGAATGAGAGGAAGTCCCACATGCACACAGAATCTTTGTGAGGAATTTATTTAGAAAAATCTACTATTATTGCTGTTTGTCCTATTATTATTTTCTAAAACTGTTCATTCCTGTGGGAGCCACAGAGGGAGGAGCCGAGAACGTCCTTGCCTCAGCTTCAACCTGCGCTCTTGGCGTGTGGTCTTTGCAGAGGTGAACTCTTCCTGGACCCCACGCGGGGCTGCCACAGGGACAGAAGTAGCAGAAAGTTTCCTACTCAATGTGGCTTCTCCTGCTAGATTAGGAACAGGGCTCCCACCTTTGCATTAAAATAAAAAGCACACACTTTTCAATATTACGACGTTATACATGTAAGACGCTGCGCACCTTGAGAACTGCTCGGCGACCTGAGTCAGCATGTTCTGGATCAGTTCTTCTCTCTCTGCGATCGAAAACAAAAAGACAGATGGGACATCATCAGGGACAAGCCTCTGTGGGCATTCGTGGTTTGAATCTTGGGTACTGGGGACGCGGCACCAATGTGCAAATAAAGTGTTGCCTGGGTTCCCTGGAGGGACACTCGGCCCCGCTGTCAGGTATTCCCGAGCTCCCTTGGGTCTGGAGTTTCCTCTGGACCCTCACTGCCCCTTTCCTCTCTGATTGCTCCAGCCCCATGCAGCTCTATTTCCAGCCGGCTCTCAGCAGAGTGTCCAGGGCTGTGGGCCCTTCCATTGCTGACACCAGCTATAAAATCAGGTAGGATGAGGTTACTACGCATGGGAGGTTTTTATCTGGTGGTGCCTTGCTCCTTTTTATGGGTGGCAATTTGCGTGACAAAGTAAGTTCAAGATACATTTCAACTTCAAAACACGGTGTTTCTATGGCAGGTCACAGACAGGAAGCTGTCTGGGTTGAGCAAGTTTGTCTGTAAAACCCAGCTAGATGGCTGGTTTTGCAAGTTTCAAGTCCCCGGCTGCCTGTAATCTATTTTCCTGACTCCTGGCCATTCACAATGCTGGATATGTTGACAAATAAAAAATCCACTGCCATCAGCCCAAGTCTGACTCAGCAACCCTCCATCAAGTTTTCAAGGCTGACATTTTTTCCTAGAGGAGATTGCCCAGCTTTCTCGTGTGGAGCCACTGGTGGACCCAAGCCCTTGACTTCTGAATTAGCAGCCCAACCCAACACACAATGAGCTTTGCCACCAAGGCTCCTTGGGGAGGAAGTGGAGATGCTCACCATCCTGTTCTTTGCAGTAATCCTATTAAGATAGTGAGCTCTAGAATTTAGAAAACACTCAAGCACCACAACAAGATAAAGGTAAATAACCCAGATGAAAAATGGGCACAGGATATGAACAGACACTTCACCAAAGAAGACATTCAGATGGCCAAGAAATACATGAAGAAATGTTCAAAGTCCCTAGCTCTAAGATAGATGCAAATCAAAACAGCTATGAGATATCATCTCACTCCAGTAAGAATAGCAAAATTTAACAGAACAGCGAACATCAAATGCTGACGAGGTTGTGGAGAAACTGGAACACTTATTCACTGTTGATGGGAGTGTAAAATGGTACAGCCACTATGGAAGGCAGTATGGTGCTTTCTCAAAAAGCTGCAAGTAGAAATATCATTTGACCCAGCAATTTCTCTACTGGGAATAAACCCTAAAGAAACCATAACTGCAACCCGGGCAGGTATATGCATAGCCATGTTTATTGCGGCTTTATTCACAATAGCAAGGCGTTGGAAACAACCTAAGTGCCCATCAACAAACAAATGGATAGAGAAGCTCTGGTATAGTCACACAATGGAATACTATGTTGCATTGAAAAACAAGAAACTCATTAAATATTATTCAAAATGGGTGACCCTGGAGGACATTATGCTAAGTGAAATATCTCAATCACAAAAGGACAAATACTGCATAGGGCCACTGTTGTAGAACAGGACTGACATCAGGGTTGGGGTGAGACTGAGAAAGATTGGATAAATTATATATACTGCATCGAAACAGATGAGGGAGAGAGCAGTTTGAAGGTGATATATGATTGAGTATTGGTTATTTTTTTTTAAATTACTTTTGTGTGAGTGTACCGTCAAATCAGATCTGACTGGCACAGGAGGAGATTGTCCCTCCTTCCTCAGCAGAGCATCTGGTGGTGAGTATTGGTTATGACAAGGGTCCAGAATGAAGGTTGCATAGTGGAGTGTACTCAGGGTTGGGGGTGGATTGTATATTAATGAAGGAATTTTTCTTTTACTTTTCAAAGAGAAGAGCGAACTGGGGGGGGGAGGAGTGAGCAGGGAGAAAAATGCAACAATGGATGAATGGAAATCCAAAATCTCTGTAAATGTTCATTAAAATTAATAAAATAAAATTGAAGAAAAAAAAAGATAGGAAGCTCTAGTAGCCTTGCTGTAAGAACCTGTGCTGTAATCCCAAAGACACGTGGTTCAAATCCACCTGCTGCTTCACAGGAGAAAGCTAGGTAATCTTCTCACATGTGATTAAACGGATTCTGAAAACCTGCTGGCTTTTCCATTGCTTGGAATATACCCCAAGAAAATGAGCGCTGAGGCTCAAACAGAAACTTGCATACCAGCGTTCTTAGCAGTGTTATTCACTGTTGCAAGAACATGGAAAGAGCCCAGATGCCCAACCACAAACGAATGGATTGAGAAGTTGTGGTACATTCATACAATGGAATACTATGCAGCACGCAGGAGCAATGATTTTTTTAAATTACTACCTAAGTTGAGAGGCACTGGAGAGCATTATGCTGAGTGAACTAACTTAGTCACACAAGGATAAATACTGTATAAAACCATTATTGTAGCATGAGTATGAGGATCCAAGGTGGGGGTGGGGGGCAGAGGGTGGAAATAGAGAAGTGAGGATGGGTGGAGGGTAGGGTGTTAATCAGAGGGTTGCACAATTTCATGAGTGGGTGGGGTGAAGGAAACGGAAAGGATCTTTTGTGAAAGACAATGTATTCAAACTTTGTAAACAAATCAGAGTAAAATTTTTAAAAAAGAGAGAGAAAACCCCCAAAACCTGCTGGAGGGTCAGTTATGGGCTGGTTCCAACTAGAGGACATTCAACAATAACGTAGTTAAAGTAAAAAGAATTAGAGCTGAGTACAACTCATAGTGACCCTACGAACAACAGGTCTGAACCCTGTCTCGTCCTGCTCCATCATCGTCTCTGACTTCCTCGAGCTGCAGTCATTGTGTCAATCCATCTGGTTGAGGGCCTTCTTCTCTTTCACTGACCAGCCATCTTTCTTAGCATGCTGTCCCTTCCCAAGTTGCTCTAGCAACATGCCCAAAGTATGTGAGGCGAAGCTTCACCGTGCTTGTCCCTAAAGAGTGTTCTTGCTGCCCCTTTCCTAAGACATAGCAGCGGTCCATGGAAGAGCTAGTACTCTTCTCTAACAGCACAACTCAAAGGCATAGGTTTTTTCTTCTGTCATCTTTATTCACTGTCCAATTATCAGAGGAATAGCAAGTGATTGAAAAGACCATGACAAAAAAAAAATAAAAAAAATAAAAAAAAAGAAAAAATAAAAGAAAAGACCATGACAAATCAGGTGCACCTTAGACTTTAAACTGACATCACTGCTTCTCAGGACTTTGAAGAAGTCTCTGACAGTAGACCTAGGTTCTCATTTTTGAGAACGTATTGCTGTTGTGTGCTGCAGAGTCCGACCCGGCCCATAGCTGACCCTCCAGTAGGACTTCAGAGGCAGTAAAATCACATGGGAGGAGACTGCCCATCCTTCTCCTGAGGAAGAGCTGGTGCATTCGAACCACGTGTCTTTGGGATTACAATGCAGCTTCTCATCATCGCCAGGCCACCAGGGCTTGAGAACACATTAGGAGGGCACATTACAGATTAATGACAGTAATTATCTTTGGTTTATAGGATGATACATGATTATGATACTATGCCCCTAAGTACTGCAAACAGCTAATGCACTCTGTTGTTAACCAAAAGGCTAAGGGTTTGCATCCACCAGAGGTGCCATGGGGGAAAGACCAGGTAATCAACTTTTAAAACTCAGTCCGGGAAGCTGAGAGAGGACAGTTCCTCTCTAACACAGGGCGTGTCACTGCGAGTTGGTGCTGACTTGATGGTAGCTAGTTTGACATAAATAAGGTGGTCTTCTTATTTTTGCTTTCTGTCTTACACATTTTCTCTAACTAACATACATTGAATTCTTAAGAAGAAAATAATTAATTACTCCATCTAAAATAGCCTGTTGAGATCACCTCCCCTCACCTGCCAAATCAAAGAACGGTATTGCTTGACCTTTGTTTATCTCTAGCTTTCACATTTGTGTCTTTTAGTCTCGGAAGAAAAGTGATCTTTTGTTAGAATTTTTGAAATGAAATATCAGATAGTAGCAAGTTTTCACAGAGACAGAGGAGGAGCTGGTGGCTGGTGCCCAGCTTGCACCTTCATAGAGGATCATACCTGTCAGAGGAAAAGGGACTCCACTGACAGAGACACCAGCAAAAACATCCATGGTAAAAGCAGTCAAGAAATCAAAAGACATGTTGCATTGGGAAAATATGCTGTCAAGGACTTCTCCAAAGTGCTGAAGAGCAATGAAGTCAATTTAAAGCTATGATCTTTTTAAAATTGATTTATTAATTTTAATGAAAGTTTACAGAGACTTAGGGTTTTTGTTCATTCATTGTTGCACTTTTCTCCCTGCCCACCCCTATCCCAATTATCTCCTTTCTTTGAGAAGTGAAAGAAAAATTCTTTCCTTGTTATACAATCCCTCCCTCCAAGAGTCTACTCCACTGTGTAGCCTTTATTCTGGACTCCTGTCATAACAGTAATACCTAATCACATATCCCTTTTAGACAGTTTTCTCCCTCATCTGTTTCAATGCAGTATACATTATTTATCCCATCTTTCCCAGTCTCCGCCCAACCCCGATGTCAGTCCTGTTTTACAACAGTGGCCCTATGCAATGTTTGTCCTTTTGTGACTGAGCTTCTTACACATCTGTAAGTTGGACAATGAATAAAGATGATTGAAGAAGAATCAATGGCTTTGAATTGCAATGCTAGAGAAGAGTAACAGACATCCTATGGACTGTCAAGAGAACAAGCCTGTCTGTGCTGGAGGGAGTACAACCAAGGTGTTCCTCACTGGCAAAGATGATTAAACTTTGTCTCATATACTTTGAGCATATTGTCAGGAACCAGTCCTTGGAAAAGGCATCATGCTGGAAAAGGTAGTGAGTCAGAGAAAGAGAGGAAGGCCCTCAATGAGGTGGTTGACACAGTGACTATAACAATGGGCGTGAGCATATCAGAGAGGGACAGGGTGGTGCCGGACAAGGCAAGATTCAGGTCTGTTGTTCACAGAGTCACTGTGAGGTGTAGTCGACTGAATGGCATCTGACAACCTGATGAA